ATAGACTTATCACTACTACCAGAAGCTATTATCCTACTATCATTAGAGAAACAAACTTTACCTAATTGTAATTTTCTAGTTTGGCTTTCTCAACACCAGATTTATCTGTATTTCAATCAATAATCAAGAATAACACACATTAATCTAACATCACACTTTATACATCTATTTCAACTTTTTATTAACTGTTTTAACATCACATAAATAGTTAGATTAATCTTAATTACCTCAGTTTATGTATTTCTATCAGATGAGAAACAGATTGAATTTACCCAGTTATCATGACTATTTTAAATGGCTCCTATGAACTTGATTTTGCATCTTTTTAGGCAGATAGATTGATCCCAACTATCAGAATCTTCTATATTTCACTAAAGACTTACTTTACCCAATTCTTCTGGTAATTGCATTCTGTTACTCTTGTTAGCATCCCTTTAAATTAATAGACTAAATTTACTACTAGAAGCTCATGTATGTCTATCACAAGAGAATCAAAATAACATTACTCAAATCCTATGGTCATTTAAATTTGCTTTTTATTATTCTGTTTTTACAATCCTTATAGACAATTAGACTCATATCTACTATCAGAATTTATTATATTTCTTTTAGAAGACCAACATTAGCAAATACTTCTGACCATCTTTCTTGGTTTTCCATCAAGTAATTTTAAACATCCTTGAGAGACTAAATATATGTTTAAACCCTAACAGATGTCCTCTATTGATCTTCTAAGACATCAAGAACAGTCCAAAATGGCACATTATGATCCCTAAAATTCAAAGCTCTTTAAATAGATCTAATTTGAGAAGCCTTACTATTCATATTTATTCCTACCAAATAGAAAAGATCTACTCCTTTTTTTTAAACTCTTTTACTCGTTACTTCACTTATCCTAGTACTAAAATCACACATCTTACATATTTTAAGTAGTGATAAAGATTTTGTTCAGGCATATTCCGATCTGTAAATCGTTAACTGAAACCGTTAATTATACTTAAATAGAGATGATAAACAAGAAGGATGTGTCAAAAATTAAAGAACTCAAATTATTTATAAATTAAAAAGTATTCTGTATTCTTCAAGAATCTAGCTATGGAAATGTTAAATGAATTTTCAATGTTATATTCTACCTCTTTTCTTATCAATTTCCAATATACGCAATGTCTGAACTTCAAATTTACTAAAATGCTAAAGATACTATTATCGATTTTTTTCATTATTTAACCTAAAATTAGAGTCATAAAAATTCAATATTAAAAATTAAAAAAAAAATGTAGAGCTCTTTTTAATAGAAGGGGGCTCTAACTGACATCTTTGATTCAGTAAAAGATGTAGATATACAAATCTTTGGTGTCATACTAGAAATATTAAGAAAGGAGCAAGGTAAAGATTGCATTGGATTTTTATCAGATATTGGGAATAAGAAACAATTAGAATTATAAATTTTATAATAAGTAGGGAATATTACCCAAGCTGATACAGAATAAAAATTGTCTCTTGTAAGAAAAGACATAAAATAAATGACAGATGTCTTAAAAAAATTAAAAGATCATGACTTCAACATCAAAGACTTTTCCTCTAAAAAAAATGAAGAATCTAAATTAAGTCTAATTAAAAGCATCAAGGTTAATAGAAGGATCATTGAATTTCTCTAATTTTTAGTTCACCTCACATCAATTGATGAAAAGTTGGTTTAATGTGGGTCTAATTCCTTACATATTTTAGTTTAGATGAAGGTGGACCTTAGAAACAAAAATTTTGAAAATATTATTATCTAAAATACTTCCCTAATAGGAGCTAATTTTGTTAAGATGTAATTTAAGTGGATCTTAATTTAATAATGTCAAAATAAGTGGAATAAATCTGAGTGGGGCATTATTATATAATTGTAAATGGAGTGACTTACAAATCTCTGAATTATATAAATTACATGGTCATCGTGATTGTGTAAATACAGTCTGTTTCTCTCCTGATGGAATTACGTTAGCTTCTGGTAGTGCTGATAAATCTATTCGTCTTTGGGATGTCAAAACAGGTTAATAAAAAGCCAAATTAACAATTCATAGAGGAAGTGCTTGGTCAGTATGTTTCTCTCCTAATGGAAATATATTAGCTTCTGGAGATGATAAAAGGTCTGTAATATTATGGGATATTAAAACAAGAAAGAAAAGAGTAAAATTAGTTGGTCATAGTAAAACTGTCTAGTCAGTCTGTTTTTCTCCTGATGGAAAAATAGTAGCATCTGGTAGTGATGATAGGTCTATCCGTCTATGGGATGTAAAAACAGGATAAAAAAAATGCAAATTGGATGGTCATGATGATGCTGTTATATCAGTCTGTTTCTCTCCTGATGGAAATACATTAGTTTCTGGTAGTAATGATAACTCTATCCGTCTTTGGGATGTCAAAACAGGAGAATAAAAAGCCTAATTAGATGGTCATGATGATGCCGTTATATCAGTATGTTTCTCTCCTGATGGTAATACATTAATTTCTGGTAGTTATGATAACTCTATCCGTCTATGGGATGTCGAAATAGGAGAATAACAATCCTAATTAGATGGTCATACTAGTTATGTCTACTCAGTCTGTTTCTCTCCTGATGGAAATACATTAGCTTCTGGTAGTGATGATAGGTCTATCCGTCTTTGGGATGTCTAAACAGGAGAATAAAAAGCCTAATTAGATGGTCATGATGATGCCGTTATATCAGTATGTTTCTCTCATGATGGAAATACATTAATTTCTGGTAGTAATGATAACTCTATCCGTCTATGGGATGTCAAAACAGGAGAATAAAAAGCCTAATTAGATGGTCATGATGATGCCGTTATATCAGTTTGTTTCTCTCCTGATGGAAATATATTAGCTTCTTGTAGTTATGATTGTTCTATCCGTCTATGGGATGTCAAAACAGGATAATAACAAGTCAAATTAGATGGTCATAGTAATACTGTCTACTCAATCAGTTTCTCTCCTGATGGAAATACATTAGCTTCTGGTAGTGATGATAACTCTATCCGTTTATGGGATGTCAAAACAGGATAATAAAAAGCCAAATTAGATGGTCATACTCATTATGTTTACTCAGCTTGTTTCTCCCCTGATGGAAATACATTAGCTTCCAGTAGTAGTGATAACTCTATCCGTCTATGGGATGTTAAAACAGGATAATAAAAAGCCAAATTAGAT